CTAGTGCAGATAGCCCTCGCGTAGCTTTGCGCGAAATTCATAACACACAAACAGATCAATAGCGTTATGAGATTCGGATGGGTTCAATAGGTTTTGAACTACTTTCAGAATTTGTAGTTGTTCTAGTCCTTCATGGAGTATATAGGAAGAAAACATCCCTAATTCACAGAAGACTATTTAGATATACTAATTATAGTACTAATTTAGAGATACTTTGTTACTGATGTTCTCAACTTTATTAATAGAATGTTTCAGCTTTTCAGTGTAGAGGGGAACTGTAGATAATTTTTCATTGCCACAATACTATAAATTCAAGGATGGCCTGGATTAATTTAGTTAAGAGATGAAACACCTTTGGGTAAGATTGCTTAGATGTAAAGTACTGGAAGAAGTTTTTGTGTATTGTATTATTCTGGAGAAGCTTTCTCAGCTTTATACTGAGTCATAGTGTCTTGAGAGAGCTTCTTCTAGAAATTAATGTCAGTTAGTTAGTGGCAAAATTAAATGAATAGGAACCGCACCAACCTTGTTCACTTTCTGCTATTATAATACTATTATCAGGTTTAAGTACCTTAAGAGCAGTTCCTCCCATTAAGTTGAGGTTATCGTGGGAGTATTTAAAGTCATCCGGAGGATCATCGGCAAGTTAACGGACTTATAAAGCTAAAATCCGGGGTTTGATTCTCCGCGGCGACAAGAGGGCAGATAGCCCATTGTGTGGCTTTGTGCTGAAACAAACAAACAAATACACAAACAGTGTTGATCATTTGAATGTTTGGATTATGCCATTCTTTAATATAATTGTAAATGTGGTTAACTGTTTGTGGGAGGTGTCGAAGAGGACTTTTCTTTAAAAGTAGGTACATTTTGGTGATCGTTAAATAAATATTTCGTATGTTGATGTTATCTTTGTTAACTTTCTACGTGTTTTAAAAGACTTTTTTCTGTTAGTCATGAAATTCACGTTGAAGAGTAGATGAACGCTGTCAGAAGAATGAGTAAAGGTTTCATTAGAAAAGTAAAATAAAGAGAAAAAAGAGAGAGGCCAGAGTGAGGCTATTTTGGTATATTTTCTTCATCAAGACCTGGCAGCTGATGTGC